AGACAGACAGACAGACAGACAGACAGACAGACAGACAGACAGACAGACAGACAGAGAGAGTGAGACAGAGAGAGAGATATCTAAATACACAATGCATAGACAATAAAGCCACGCCCCCGCCCACCACCCGCCCGTGCTACTCACACTCACCGGAAACTGTCGTCAAACGGATCCTCCACACCCGGCGACATTATGACGTCATCGCCAGACAGGTGAGTCGGGAAGGAGAGCGAGTCGAGCTGTCTGACCGCTGAGCTGGCGTTGTCGGGGTGGAGACCCGCGAGAAACTGACGCTCTAGGGGCGTGTCCTCCACGTCACGTGGCCTACAGACAATAGACGAGTCACGTGGCCCACAGACAGCAGACGAGGACTCACGTACACTGACACTGACATTCGTATATTTCATTGACGGGGATATGTCCGACTCCGATATAGCCTGTGTAGAGGGAGGGGCCATAACCCCGGCCAACAGTGTGTCTTCTGTTGATGACGCTGAGTTCCCTCCCCTCCATGAACTCTCCAACGTGTCCAGGTCATGACCTCCCACCACCTGACTCTGCGCTGCTGGGTCGGGAACAGCTTCAAACATCGAGTCCTCAGCCGTTGACAGAAAATCCACTCTGATGAGAGTATCTTCCAAATTTCTCGAGTCGCTGGACACACTTGCTGGAGCGTCCTTGGCCTGTATCTCCGTGTGCCACGGGGTGGCGGGAAGGTCAGCCGACCAGGTGTCAGGTCTTCTAGCACCCGACGTGGGGAAATGGTGAGGACTTTGAGGAGAAGGATCTGGCACTGTCTCAACATTTGTTGACGTCACAGGCGCCACATATTCTGACGTGACGTCACACTGGTCACTCGGTGACGTCAACAGCACGAGGTGTTCTGGAGTCGAACAGTCCATAGGCTGGGCAGGTTTCTGTAGATCTGCAGACTCAACGGGGGAGGGAGACAGGCGGTGGTGGTCATCTGGTTTGTTGTTGGATATTTCAGACCTGTCAACAACAGACGCGTGCGGACATGTATTCTCAGCTGAGACAAAAGCGGCGTCGACATTTGGTGAACCCGGCATAACGACAGCAAGTCGTGCTTCCCTGTCAGACCGGGTACACACCGAAACACCGGTGGTCTCATCCGATGCCTGTGACTCTGATTCAACTCGCAGACCTTGAAGCAAACCCTCGCCGTCAAAGGCCGCCATGTCGTCTTCAGCTGATTCAACCACGGCGGGCGTGGCCAGATTTTCATCCGCAGTCACTTGGCTCCAATCTGTGTTCATCATTTCGTTCTCATCATTGTTGTCTTCATCGCTGTCATCATCGCTGTCATCCTCGGCGATGTCAAAGCCCTCCGGCTCTACCAACGGGACAACACCTCCCAATGGAACCACTGCTGGAAAACGGCAACCGTCTCTCTGATCGAAACTGTCGGATGGGGATGTAAGATCGAAATTGTCGGATGGAGTTGAAAGGTCGAAAAGATCAAATTGAGTTGTAAGAATCACATGAGACGGAGACTGGCCTGTGAACGTTTCACCAGCACGCCCTGGCTGTGTGTCGAGGAGCGGGCCCGGCCCAGAGCCACACGGAGACACAGCCGGACACAAGCTGCCCTTTGTGTCATCATGAGCTGAGAGCACAGCTGTGTCCACGCCCGTCACAAACACGTCATCAGTCATCCCCGGCGCCTCCACTGGCCCACCACGACTCTCCCTACTTCCGATACAACCCCCACCCCCGCTCCTACACCCAACCCAGTCCTCTCCCATACTTCCTCCACTCCTGCCTCTGTCCTCCCCCAGACTCCCCTCAGCCCCTCCCTCTCCCACACTCCCACCCCTCCCCTCCCCTACACTCCCCCCACTCCCACCCTCCTCCACACTCCCCGGCACGGAGAAGGCGTCTGTCAAGTTGTCCCAGTAATTCTCTTCCCCCACGTAGGAGGCTTCCTCGTTAAAGTCGCCACTACTCTCAGACATCATCGCCTTTTCCTTCTCCTCTACCCCCTCCTCTCCCTCCTCCTCCTCCTCTACCTCCTCCCCCTCCTCCTCGCCGTCGTCATCCCTGCTGTCGTCAGAAGGAGTGACGGCCGGGTCCGAGCATGCGGCGATCCCACTGTCCACCATGGCGGAAGTGGACACAGTCAGCAGCTCCAGGGTGGACGAGTCGGGCCCGCGGGGTGAGAGGTCAGTGTCGGCACAACAGGACCAGGACTCGTCACAGCTGGACAGCCGCGCAGAGTTCCGGTGTTGTTCGCGCAGTCTCTGGGCGCTGGTGCCAGCCTTCTCTACCACCGCCGCGTCCTCGCCGCTCGTGTCAAGGTCACGGACGGCTGGCAGGTCAAGGTCACGGACAGCTTGCGGGTCAAGGTCACGGACGTTCGATGGGTCAAGGTCACGGGCAGCTGGAACACATAACCGTCCAGCCCCGCCCGGTTCACAGGGCACAGACGGCTGGCTAGTGGTCAGTGATTCCTCGAACTCAGAAAAATGTACATCTGCCCCGGTCTGTTCTGACTCCATGCTTGTTTCCTCACACACTGGCCTGACAGCACACGACTACAGCTGTAGCACACAGACCTGGGCTCCGACCCTGCCTGTCACGGCCTACCAGGGATGAAGGGAATACAGACCATCGACTCCAACAATCTCTGGTCACATGGACTCCAACAATCTCTGACAACATCGACTCCAACAATCTCTGGTCACATGGACTCCAACAATCTCTGATAACATCGACTGAAACAATCTCTGGTCACATGGACTCCAACAATCTCTGACAACATCGACTCAAACAATCTCTGGTCACATCATTGATCACGTGATCCTGGAGCCAAGTAATTATTCTGCCTAAACAGACGGAATGAAAACTTTGTAAAACTCATACAGAATCTAACACCACGATAATCTACACACTCGCCAGTTTGGTAAAATTTACGGTGAAATGGTACAGGTTTAACACCCCTATCAACACTGTTAGATTATTTAAGAAGCGGGACCTCCGAGTTTAACGTCCGTCTCCGAAAGGACTGAGCCAAGTGGGAAGTTCGTGTACAGTTTGGTCTTTCCCAACGACACAACGTCGGACCGAGCTGAGGCTCGAACCCGCGAACCTGCAACCTCACGATCACGAGTCCGGTAGCCTAACCACAAGGCCACGGACTACACGCCAGTTTTCTTACCCACGGCCACGGCAATGGCATATTCCATCTCTCACTGTATATCACACAGACATATTCTATCTCTCACTGTATATCACACAGACATATTCCATCTCTCACGTCCACTGTATATCACACAGACATATTCTATCTCTCACTGTATATCACACAGACATATTCCATCTCTCACGTCCACTGTATATCACACAGACATATTCTA